TCAGGAAGATAGGTTTTAGCTCAAAGAGGATGGCTTGATGTGGAAATTTTCTTTGCATATGTCCTGTAGATATCCTGGAATATAAGTCTTGAGAGGCCTGATAGGGACAAATGAGGCCTCCACGAGGAAAGGACACAAAATTTAGCTTCTAAATCCCTGTTCATCTTTGTCTGAGAAACACTTCCCCCCGAGTCTAAAAGAATAATCGTGTGAAGCCATGGGAATCTCAACCAAAATCTGCATTACTCCTTTAGCTCTGTGCTATACGAGTCCAATCAAAACAGTACTCCATCCTGTAAATGTTGCATTTCAAACAGCTGAATTTGTGCAAAAATATTGTCTTTATCTTTCAGACAAATATTTGAGCTTTGTGAGCCTGATAGAAGGATTTTTTTGCTTAACATAGAGAGATACAATGTATCTATTTAACACATGGCACTAATTAAGCCAAAAGGAAGTATAGGGTTTGCACTGGAATGCCATTGTAGACACAAGATTGTATGCCAACCATCATTTCTCTCAGTTTGGATCTTATCATGTTTTATTCAGGCCAAAAGCCAACCTTTTCCCATAAGATTTCTGCCTGAATAGGAGATGGGTTAATTATTTTGAAGTCTCTAATAGTGGGGGAAAGGTTCCTACTGGGTTATTTTTTGCACCAGTCACGTGAAGTTAAGACTCAGTATCATTGATATCCTTGGGTTTTCAGAAAGCTAGGATTTTTGTCACAACCCCAGACCTGCAACTGCAACCCACTGCTGACCCTCATGTCTGTGTGGAGCTGAACTTACTGCAGCAGGGCTTCCTCCGGCCTCTGCCGGTTACAAGGCTGGGTCGCTAGGGCTCACCAAATGAGGTTGATTCATGTCTGTGTATATAAAATGAATACCATACATATAAATTAATAATTAACATAAGATACATAATATATAATAAAAAAGTAGGTGAGATACAGTGCTGTACAGCCATCCATACCAAGGGCTTGAGACAAACACCCACATAGCCCTGAAAACACTCTGAGTTATTTGTGGTATCAGATGTGCTTTGAGATATATGTATGTTCTGAGTCACAATTTTGAGTTGTATTTTCTAGCTTTATGGGGCTATAAGAAACAGTTTAGGATGTTAATGTAGTGGGAAGGAAAGGCAGGAGGAGAGAAGAGGGCAGAGGTTGTTTCTCAAACTTGACATGAACATTGGTGGGCTTTAGCCTGAAATGAAACTCCATTTATATCCTAAAGAAGCACGGAGAAGGAAAAGCAGATCCCATGCAAAAGGTCTTAATAATTCAGATACAGATTCAGAACAAAGTCCTGCATTAAAGCCACATGAAAACCCCACCACTGTTTGGTGCCAGGGAGCCCAACTGCTTAGCTCGGCCAGCACAGCCAGCACACACCCAAACTCAAACCAATTCACTTTAATTTCCCGCTGACACTCGGAGAAACAGCGAGCACGGGGTAGATGCTTAACCCTCCTCCCTTGCAGCTGGCTCAGGAGGGGAACCTCTGAGACGTCCCCATGCTGGCTTCAGCATCTCAGTGCTGAACTGTTGGGGACACGTGGATCGGCACGTCACTGCTGGCAGTGGGATTTGCTGCCTAAAGGACTTCTCCCTCCATCTTGGCCTTGCCACAGTCCACCTCCTGCTTCCTTCCCGTGCAAGCGATGCCACCCAAAGGACAAAAGCCAACGAACCAATGTCAAAACCAAAATCTAATCCGCACAGCCCTGCTAATGCACTGAAGCCTGTGCTGGCGCTTTTCCAGCTGACAAGCTTGTGCTTGCTTTGTCAATTAAATCATTTCCCCACCTTGTTCCAGCTCAGGGAACCCCTACATGACTGTGTCCTCCTCCTGCCTGGGGTTCAGAGCATGAAAACCAAAGGGCAGCCCTGCAGAGCAAGGTAGAAAGCGTATTTTTCAACCAAAAAAATGTGGTTCACTTTGAAGATGGTCTTGGGTAAAATACTGGTGTTGAAGGCATCAACTGCCCAAGGTCAGAGGCTCCAGGGTTTGCATGGTTCTCCCTCCTGGTGTTTCAGGATTGGAGAGGGAGCCAACAAACTGCCAGAGCTGGAAGGAAGATGCTGAGTGAATTTCTTTGTAGTTCTGCAGGGGAAAGGGCTTGTACTGTCCCGTGGATATGTCAGAATTGGAGGCTTGTTCTGATGATTTCTGCAGACTGAAACAGGAGGGATTTGGAGGGGGGAAGATGGTATCAGGTCAATCGAGATGCAGTGTTTTGATATTGATTTTTTTTTTCTATTTTCTTTTTATTCATTTTTTCTTAAATTGTAGAAGAAAAGACCTCTCTGCAAATGCCTCTGTTCCCCACTTTGGCACGTTAGACATTTTTTTCTTGCTTTTTTCAAGTTCTGAAATTCCTCACAACCCATCCTTCTGCATGCAAACTTCTGGCTTCAAGGAAACAGCCTTGCTCGCCAAACATGGTTTCATTTCTGCCCAGCTCTAAGAGCAGCTTACACAGCTTCATCTCCGGGGCTTGGGTCATCTATCAACCCCAACTCTTTCTGACACGTCTCCGTCCCGCTTTCCACCTCTGCTCATCAGCCTTTGATTAGCAGAGCTTTGTTGGGCATCTCCCTGCCCTTGCAGAGGAAGGTTTCATGCCACCCTTCCCCTCTCCTGGCCGCACAGTGCCCATGAGTTCCAGCGACGTGGAGGTGGGGGCTGCAGGGGTGCTGAGAGGCAGAAGTTTGGGTGACCTCCAAGGAAAGGGTTGGGACATCATTATTTGACTCTGTCAGAGGCACTTGGCCTTTTTTTACAGCTTTTTTCTGGATTTTAATCAACTCTGTAGCGTCTGCTCATCTCCTGTGCATTGGTTTATGGAGTGATGGGCTGCTCCAGGTCTGCTCACGTGCAAGGAAGGGGCTTGCGAGATGTTGTTCAGATGTGGCCTTCTTGTAGGGAGCCTTAGTATCTTAGATGTTTTAAACCTGTTTGGCCATAGAGTTTCCCACCCACTTCATTTCAGATAGTGCCAGGACCTGGACTTGTGCAGAAAAACATAGCTCATAGAGTGAATCTTGAAAGTCAGCAAATCTCCACAATCTTCCCTTTCCTCACCCTTTGTGCCTAATTAGAATTAAATTGTCCCTATATCCTACATGCCTCTGTTATTGAAGAGAGTTTATATCCCAACCAACAGCTGGGTAAAAAACATTTCTGACGGAAAACAATGAAAGAGGATTCTGCCATCAAAAGTAAAACTCTCCGTTGCATGGCTTCTTAAGAAAATTTGAGCAATTAAAAATCCCAGCAGGCTGCTCTTTGATTATTCAACGCAGCCCTGGTAGAAGAGCAGCGCTGAGGTCTGCTGCATCACATAAAGTGGGTTTTGAGATAAAGGGATGGAGTTTTGTAAGTAAAGAGGGAGGAAGAGGCAGGAGCTGAGGCTTTTGTTTTTCTGTTGGGTTGTTTTAATATCCTGAATTTCAAGAATCACTTTTTCTTTTTTTTTTTTTTTGAGATGACTGAGCTGCAGGGTAGTTTAATGAGACCATCGCAGTCTGGGACGGAGCTGGGAGCAATGCGTGTGCAGAATGACAACTCGCCCTTTTCCCTTTTGCTTAAATGTAAATATATCTGCAAACGACCAGAAGAAAAATTCCCCCCCCACCCCCATCTAGCAAAAGCTTGTCAGGAGCTCGAGAGAGGCTTTGCCTCTACCATCTGCAATATGAGTAAGAAGTCAAGGCCTCTGCAAGGCTGCCTTGTGTTTCCATTTCATCTCCAGGCTGAAATCTGAATGCATAATTAGCCAGAGCAATCGATGGAGTAAGAGGTGGCTAATGGGATTCTGGGAGGACATGAGGGACAGGGAGGGTCTGACTGAGCCCGGGCTTTGCTCCGCATGACGTTGGTGCGGCTCGGGGACCACAGGCAGCACAGGCAGCATGGCAGCGGGAAGGATCCGACCCAGGGCAGAGCCAGGACAGACGTTACTTATAACACCCTGGGTGACTTATTGGACATGGGGAATTATAGCATCCATGCTCATCTCTCAGCAGCTTTTTAAGGTAATCCTGGCCAGGCTTTGCAGCCACGTAGAGGACACCCAAGTGTCCACTGACACCCAAGCTGCTGAAATGGTAGCAGATAGCCAAAATCTTTCATAGGTAGAAGGGGTCCGGGAGGGCAAGACATGCCCAGCCTGGCCAAGTGCTCCTGGCTCAAAGCGGTGGCAGATGGCAAAACCAGTCAGCCCAGCCTTGTGTCATGGTGAGCGAGTCACCGACATGCCCTCGCTCCCAGCACTTGCCCAAAATGTGCCGAAACTACAGTTTCTTGGGTGCTGTGCTGGGAGGATAGAGCAGGACTGCAGCACCCATGGCTCTTTTGGGTGCCATTAAATATCAGTTAATGTCACATTCCCATCACTGCACCCCATACAGACTCTTTTTTTCATGGCTGTTATCACCAGCTTCCTCCATCTCAAGCATCTCATCTCCTCTTTATGACCCACAGAGAGGAATAGTTTCCCCAAGCACCAGATTAAACTCCATCAATAACTACTCAGGGATTCTTTTAAAATATTTATAAGGTCTTAAATATTTAGCAGTATTTATTACAGTCTGTGAGACATTACATTGTCTCTATGACAATGCCACCTCCCAAAAAGTGCCATGTACCCTCTCTTACTTCCACCAACTATAAACAAAACCTGCAGTGAAAAATCAAGTCCTACAACCTCATTCAAGAAAGAAACAGGGGCTCCGCTTCTATTTAAAACTCTTTGCGCTTGCTAAGATGCTCACACCTCCCGCATCATCTTCTCTGATACTTTTTAACAGCAGCCTGTGTGATGCCGAGGGTATCAATTAGCTGAATGCTAAACCCCAGCAGTGGCAGTCCACATCTCTTGTGTGACCTTGGGCAAGTCACTTAATCTCTCCCGAGTGGTGCAATGAGGGGGGACTCAAGTCTCGGCTTTCCCTGCCAGGCTGCTCTGGGTTTGTGTCAGGTACCGCAGCGATGAGGGACACAGGTAGGAACGGCTCGTGATTAGGCTGATCTTCGTGCACCTGAGCAGCAGGTAGCCCAAACCAGACATCCTCATCCCTGCATGCTCTGGCCTCCGAAATCCCATCTGGGGGCAAGGCGGGGAGGCTGCAAGGGGTCCCCCAAGCTGAGGAAGAAGGCATAGAGGTGCATCAGACCTGGGGTCAAGACCACGTCCCACCACTTGCAGCCAGGGGGCAAGGGGCAAGCAGAAAGAGTCCAGCTGTGCTAAATGTGCCTCACAACACTAACCCTAACCTTAACCCTAACCTCCACCTGGGACCAGAGAGCCTGAAGCAGCTACAGAAAGACCCAACAACCTCTAAGACAGAAAAATCAGCCTAAGATGGAGATAAAGCCAGGGCATGTCTGGATTTTGAGATGACCGTGTCCTCTCTGGCATTCATAACCCCTGAATCCAAGGGCTCCCGGGGTGCCACCGGTGCCCAGCCAAGCAGGGCTGGATTTTCGGGGTGCTCTGTGTGGAGAAAGTCGGGCAAAATATGTAGTGCCCATCACTGCCCTGAAAACAAACCAGGGCCAGGGCACAGCTCTCACCCCCCCCACAAAGCGGCATTGCTTGCGCATGTTGATGGTGCGCAATCATGCCTGCAGAAGACAACCTAGGTTGGGGGCATGGGTTTTTTCTCTCCCTTTCCAGCATCAACTAGTTTCCTTCAAAGCCTGAGCTACTGGATGTAGCTTGGTCATACCAGCAGAAAATGGCTAAATCTGTATTTTGGGAACCGAAAAACCTAGAGTCTTTAGAAATATATATTTTCAAGAGCCACTGTAGGGCTTGCCCCAGGAGGAGATGAACTGGGATGTCTGTTTTGGAGCTGGAGCAAGAGACAAACACAGAGGACCTTCCCACGGGATGGGTGGAGAGCCTGTCTCTGAGCCAGGCAAGGAAGGACTTACTCAGCCCTTGCTCCACAAAGGTTTCTATTTTCACTGAAAATCCAACAGCCCCTAATTGAGCTTAAGCCCTCCCTGAGGACATCACGTTTTTCTAGGGCTTATTGGCAAGGGAAGTAAGAAAATCTAGTTTTCCCAGCAAGATCTTGTGAGTTGGGTTGGGGATGCTGAAAGGCATAGCTTTCCTTCTGGCACCTTTGCTTTGTGCAAAGACATCATCAATGCTTCTTTTGGGGGAAGTGGCATCTTGGGAATAGATCTGCAAAGAGAGAGGGTTTCACTGAGCCGTGCAGCCAGGCGAGACATAGCTGTAGTAATGGGAATGTGACATCCCTTTGGTGTCACCGCGAGGCTGAAGTCCTACCTTGGCTACCTCAGCCACCCCATGCTGTCACCAGTATCCCCCCAGCCTTTCTGCATCTCCGTAGATGGGATTTTGTCTGCCTGCACGGTCCTGGTTCAGCCAAAGCAGATCCCTGCCAGGGTCAGCATCTTCGGATGCTTTGCCAGCAAAGACAAGCCATGGGTCAGACTCACAGCGTGGAGGTCAGCCCCATGTAGAGGCAACCCAAGGCCTCTGGGAAAATGCCTCTAGGAAAATGCTCCCCATCTCTGCTCCATGGGGAATCAGGGACCATAAATCCTCCGCTTCTGCTAGGGTTGTGATCCCACTGCACATCAGCCCGAAGGAGCAGCACGACACGCGCCAGGGCGTACAAAGCACTGCCTTTGATGTGCTACAACGGCTTGGAAGTGAAAACAAACAGAGTGCTTGCACAGGGAAATTAGGGCAGCGGAAAACAAGCGTGGAAATCTGTTCGAGTTTTTTTTTCCCCTCTATTATTTAAAAAAAAAAGACACTGGGTGACACTCATTTCATAGCCTGTGTCTGGCTGAGATGGGGACTGGGACCTCTCCAGGGATGAACACCGAGGTGCCTGTCCTACTTTGGCTGAGCCACCTGCATCCTGGCGGAAGCAAAATAAGACCATGGCAGAATAATGAAAATATTCGCCAAGTGCCTTTTGCTGCTACCTGTGTCCTGTTTGACTCTATCCATGGGCCCAGGGTGATAAAAATCATTTCAAAGAGAGCAGTTGGGGCTATCTGGAACACCCTCCCCTTTGCTTGCCGAACCGTTTATTTTTGCTCCTGATATTTAGACTCTCATCAAAACTGAGATACAGCCACAGAATACCAGCTCCAGGCCAGATTCACACCACAAATTGATGTTGCTTTTCTGCGGGCCATGCGTTTACATCACTTTACACCAGCTGGAGAGCTGTTAGCTTCCAAAAACCCTATAGGAGAGAGGGATTTCAGCTGAAATTGCTGCAACCACTTTCTCCCCCCTCAGCCGCAGTGGTGTTCACTCCCCTGGTTTGTACTTAAATAAATCCCGGTGCTCAGAGGGACATTTTACACTGAGCGCTAGCAAATGCACATTTTAGCACATTTCTCTCTAAAAAATGAGGGAAATACTACACTGGAAAACTCACTCCTCTCCACCATGCACCGTGCTACAGTGTGCACAGCTCTTACTGACTTGCAGGGCAGCCAGCTTGTGCACCAGCCAGGGAAGGGTGGCTCACCTCTCACTTTTCACTTCAATACCATGCGTATGGACACTTGGCTTACCTAGAGATGCTTCATCCTTCTCTAAGGGCTTCTAAGCAAGATATTTCAGTGCTGTCCCATAGCAGGGAGCTCAGAAAATGTCCTTCTTTACATGAAGTTGTCTTCTTCATCCATTTTTATCTGCTAAGAGTTGCTTTTACCAGGTTAGATGTTTCCCCTCACCTTGCCAGCCCCAAGACCTCTAAGAGGCCCAGGCAGCAGCTCTGGATGTCAAATACCAGGTGGAAGGTGGTCCACTTTGGCAGCACTCAGCTGCCCATCCTTCAGGTGAGACCCAGCAAGGTGCTGAGCATGTTCCACCTCTCCCTGTGATACCAGGATAGAGATCTCTGGGCAATAAATTATACCACTTAGAAGCGGTGAGAGTGACAGCACTGTGCTAGTCACCTGCCAGGCAGAAAAGTAGGTCCAGTCCCTACCTGGAGGAGCTGGTGGCAGCTTCAACTCAAGCAGCAGCTCCCTGTATTTGTCCCCATGTTGCTCACCTGATGGGCGTTGCTTGCTCCCACCTGCTCCACCCCAGCAGGGTGGGATGCTCCAAGGGGAAAAAGTGCTTTGGCTTGGGTTGCTTTGCCAGGCTCTTCCTCAGATGCTTCTTCTCAAGCTCTGGGGCCTGGAGGGTTTCTTCCCGGGCTCCTGTGTGCCTTCTCACACACACCACCTCTTGCAATAATCCCGTTCTGAAATAAGAGGAAAAAATAGGATGCCTTCAATTTCAATTTCAGTTTCAATGATATCAAATAAGCTGTTCCTCTATGGCTTCATCTAAGAAACACAGATCATCTGGGACCAGCCAGGTCCCCTGCCCAGGCCCTGTCTTGTGGGTCTTCAGCAAATGCTCTGCTATTTCTAAGTCAGCTCACTGTGACTCGGTCTTCAACTTTTTTTTTTTTTTTGGTTTGGTTTAAACATCTAATTTCACTTTTCTGCCATGAAGCCACAAGTGGTCAACAGATGGTGATAGCGTGAGTCTCGTTAGTCATCACTCAGGCGGCTCTCGGAGTTGGACACTGGTGGGGGGCCTGGGTGGGCTGAGAAGTGGGAGGGTCAGGTGCTGCAGCATCACTTCTCTGGGGCCTTTTGTAGTCTTTGCTTCCACCATGAATTTTGAGTTATTTGGTGGCCAGTGCTTTTTTGTGCTTATGAAAAGCTGTTAAAACAAATGTACAGCAATGACTGAAGCCATTTAGCATGGAAGTCCCTTCCAAATTCATTACTTCTACAATGCCTGGGTGCAGCTATGGACTAACAGGATGGGGGAAAAGCGTGTAACAGAGCAATTAGCTGAGAGATGAAAATCATTAAGCATTAGGGGGCTTAATGGGATTTTTCTACCAACCAAAAGTCTCCTGGGAATCTGACTGAGATCATCTCAGAGGCACTGAGCTCAAGGCAGAACAGGTTGTTTGGGTCAGTGGGACACACTGGGATCTCCCCAGGCTTGCCTTGGGAAGGGTCAGCCCCATGATGAAGAACCATTCTCTGCCCCTCCTTTTGCTTCTTCCCAAAAGAGAAACCTCCCTTGAAGAGCAGTCAGGGCTTGTTCTTCTAGTAGTAATGTCGTCTTGTCCCTCCAGGAAGTGCAGGGAACGGAGGTGCCAATGATTTCCCCAGCTCTAACCAAGGTCTGGCTGTAGGCGATGGGTGGGTGAAGATGCTGGTTGGGGCAGAGAAAGTGGCCCTGGGGCAGGCGGGCTAGCTGGGCTCTGAGATGAGTACATCTCTGATGAATACATCCCTGATTTGGCATTCAGAGTTATATGTATTTTTTAAGAAAAATTTAAAATATATATATATATACACACACACATACCCCTCAATTAGGCTGAGAATAACTGCTGGCTCCTTGCCCGAATTGGGCTCGGGGTAGGAAGCAACATTTAGGTCCTGCAAGTGCTGCTAGCTCAAGAATAAAACAAAGTGCGCTGGCGTATCTGGGTCACTCTCCCCTGCAGGAGAAGGTATTTTAGACAGTGGGAAAGCGCCTGCCTTGCCCTCAGCACCTTGTGGCCGCATCCTGCCTCTCATCCAAGGATGTCAGAGGCCAAATTGCTTGAAATGAAAATGAGACACCCGGGAAAAGGTTTTGCCTTCTCTATTACTCGTGGCTGTGCACCCTCCTCTGCCCTGGCTTTCGGGGAAGAGAGATTAAGATTGTGCAAAACTTTCTTGCCTCTCTGCTACCTCATGTGTGTTTTCGGCAGGCTGGTGCAGAGTATGAGTGGGCTGCAGCTTGAATCCCCTGTGGGGAGAAGGGCATAAATCAGAGCTGGCTGGTGGCATTCCTCCATTAAAAAAAAAAAAAAAAAAGGAAAAAGGAAGTCTTAGGGGTGCAGATGAACCAGGTACAAAGGCAAAGAAAATACAAGCTGAAATTGCACCTTGAAAAATTGAACATGAGGAATATTTGATTTCATTAACATCAATTTA